TTGAATCTCTTATGCTTACTCAGCAATAAATGCTTCTTCCTACATTTTTATTGATTATTATTAATGATACTAAAAGACATGTGCTTTTGCTTCTATCGGCCAACGGTTAATTATTTCATTGTAATTGTATCATTTAAAGATTGCACGAACATCACGATTGTTAAATTTCGTACATCACTTTCTCTTCAAGCGAGCTTGAAACGTCCAATTTACCGCTACTTGCTTTCGCGACTCGATGCGCTAACAACATTCTCGATTTCCGAGTATGCTGAGACCCGATCCGTATTCCGTGCACATTGTGCGAGTCAATGTCGATAAAATCGATGTCATACTTTCACCACCGTGATCTTTCTAATCCTAAAAAAAATATTTACGCTTTTATATAAATCTCCGTTGAAATATGCAACACATCTCCGAACATCTCGAAATGCATTTCGCGGAAAAATTGCATCACATTGACGCTGGTCACTTTCGGATTCATGAAAATTTGCGCGTTGGGAAATATTATAGTACACACATGACAGGAAAACAGCTTACCTTATCTTTTGATCCTTTCCATGCAGCTAATAATAATCCGTGATTAATAATAACCACGCGCGAATATTTAATAGAGATTATCGCTTGAGCATCGTATAGAATACACAGACCAGCATGATGGCTTTAATAAATGAAGTTATACTTTCTGAAGCACATAATAGGTGCTCGCCATTAACATGACTTGTCTCAATTGTGTCGACTTGAACTAACTCAACTCTAATGTGCTAAATGGAAGGCATTCATAATGAAGCAGAAATTCATGCGTAAAATGTACGTTCAGATTTTATTATAATATGTTTCAATTTTAATTATATAATTATATTTTAAATAATTTTAATTATATACTGTCATGCTTTATAAAAATATTAATTCACATTAGTGTTAATATATTTACACCAACGAAAGATTATTTATTGTCGTTAAATGAAAAAGTTATACATGTGTATATAATTTATACGTGTAGTACAGATATTCCTTTTCGGACGACATCGTGATAACTACTGTTTTCTGATGTTATGTCGGCAAGGTCGTCAACTATTATAGTGTCTCTTACAGGCTTAAAGTTGGCACTTTCAAATCACCATATAGAGCGAGAAAATCATTAAAATTTGAACTAAAGTTATAAGATGTTAAATATAAAGGCACCGAATTAATTTACACCCTTAATATGTGGAAAGCAGAAATAGCATCAGGAGTGGATTTGCGTTACTAAGTTGCGTTACTAAGTGGAAAACGCCCGATATATCTCTTACGGAGCTTTACGGAAAGCTCTGAAATCATATAACTTCATCTGCCAGGACTGTTATGCCGGTCCAACGGCGTCGATGAGCCGATCTGCGTACTTCTACATTATATTTCATGTTCTTTTCTATCATCTTCCAACGATCAGCGCATACTTCACGTCGTGTTTTCCGCGACGCGTTTTCCGGTAGATTTTGCGCCCACGGCTTCATCGATGATTCGAAGATGAACGAGCGAGAATAAACTACGGCGAGAAAATGATCAAACCGCCGAAATCAGCCGTTCTCTTGGAGGATCGCACGAGCGCGTCGAACGTGTGACAGTCAAATAAAAAGGAAGGAAAGCAAGATACGAGCCGTACGTCCGCTTTGGAAGGATTGGAGATTATCGGAAGATAAATTGCATTTCTTCTCGGAATAAGACATCGCGCGCCATCGAAGCGAGAGAGAAACGTCAGATCTACTTCTTTGACATAGATTATCCGGGAACTAAGGTTTGTTACGTACGTAGAACGCGCTGAGCTTCCACCAGCGAACTCCTGGAATTTTACAAAGCAGAGAGAGAAAGAGAAAGAACGAAATCACCCGAACTGAGCAATAATTTATGCAATTAAACTACTCGCGATTCCTCATTTCCCCGAGTCCTTGGCGCGGCAACTCGCGACGGACCGAAGATAGAATTTCAGCGCGATTAAGAGGCATTCCGGACGGTAAAACTTAACGCCGCGTTCCGCAGTTTCTGGAAGACCAGGTCGGACGATAACTCAAACACGGCTCTATTCATTCATGGCCGTTGTACGAAGTGATATGGGTGGCAGCCTGCAGAGCGCCGTCTGATTTATGTATTCGCGCCGCGTTCCACCGCTTCCGATGTACATGCACCTTCATATGCGCGTGTACATAAACGGGTACACACATATATATATAATACAACGCGTGCGTGCATACGTATGTACGTAGAGTACGTACACGCGCGGGAAACGGTGGGGCGCCCACTTGCTCACGAACAAGCGAGCGAGAGAGAGAGATAGAGAGTACACACGCGTATAAGGTGGTCGCGGCAGATACGTATGGGAGGGTGGTAGGTGCCGCGGCTTATTGTTGATGAATGCGGAGAACCCGAGCTCACTGAGCCACGAAGGGGATGCGGGCTTTATACGTATACCGTAGTCAGACGGCGGCAATGGTAGAGACCGATAGGTATACGTTACCGAAGTGGAAAGCCCCCGCCGGACCGATGGCGAGGCCGCAACACCGGGGAGAGATACGTAGCGAGAGATCCGTACGCATCAATTACGCGCCTTCGTTTTCATTTTGGCCGGCACTCCCGAAAGATCGCAATTTATCGGCGCAACAATGCGGGCATTATTAATATCCATTAATCGGCCGCCGGCCGAACGCGTTTCGAATCGCCGGTTACTCTTGCGTGGATAAAAATCGCGACGATCGGAGCGTCGCGTGATTATGGGTGTGCTTGTAAATAGGCTGACAACAGTAAAAGAAGTGATGTCGGTATCATGGAATATTATTGGGCTTCGTATCTTTCATTAGTAAATCAGCTGTTGGCGTCGAAGGCTGCATATGTATTATTACTGCTGGATATTTATTATTATTGTTGAAATAAGTAATTTTTATAATGACCGCACGGAGAAAACAGGTTTGGTTGAATTAACTTATGTATAATGAACAAGCGCGTTTTGATTGAGGAAAACAGAATTTCTGATTGTACGAGCCGAGTTCGGCTCGTAAGTACCAGAAATTCCGTTTCCTTCAATTCAGACTCCGGAATAGTCGCTGTGACTGTCCTAGTTTGACGTCTGAAGCGAGAAAACCCATGCCAAGATATTTTGCGTTATATCTGCGAATAAAAAGATATGTCCACAAAATGACGTTTGTGATCGATTCGGCACACTTGTAAAATTGGACGAACACTCTTCTTTTATTAAAGTTCTCTCTCATTCTTCTTTTATTCAATCAATAGTCGCAAATTTATTTGACATGGAACCTATTTTCCCAACCTCTTTTCTCATGATTTTGTCAATGTTAATTTTATGACTTATTGATAGTTCGAGTAAAAAAAAAAGTATTCGTTCAATTTTACAAGTTTGCTGAAACGATCACAAATATGTGGATACATCTTCTTATTTGAAAATATAACGCAAAATATTTTGACATGCGTTCTTTCGCTTCTGACATCATTAAACAAGGAGAGCGACTACTCCGGAGCCTTAAAACGCGCTTGGTTCGTTTGATGTCGGGTTAATTTAATCAAACTTTTTTCTGTGTGTGAGTAAATAAAATGAAGCAGATTTTTTTCTTGATACGAGCACATAAATCATTGTTTTTTATATTCAAGGTTTTATGAGAATAGCTTAAAGCATATTTTAAACTTAAAATTATTGACTTAATTCGGCTTATTTTTACCAAAATACTAATTTATAATTTGACTTCACTCTACACAAAATCACATCTATCTCTTTACTCACGCTTTATATTGTTTCGCGCTTTATATTGTTTCGATCATTTCAGTAACCAATTCCAACCGTCTCTTTTTTATTCGCTTGATTCGATCATATTGAATACAACAATTATTTTTAGCAACTATATGTCAACTGTTGATTTCTGATAGAAAATATAAAAGCGAAACACTAGTAATGCCACTAGTAAATTGTCACTTCTGCCAACTTTATCTCTTTTATTGGCGGTAGCCAAATCTATTTCGAAGCATATCCTATAATCGCGGTGAAAACAGAAAGTTGAATTGATCGCAAGATCGCGCTCGAGATCGTTGACCGTCGAGAAACACGAGAAATATTCGTGGGGTTAAAAATCGCGATACACCTAACGTGCTGTCGAGCTAAAGAGAAAAAAGGAGGTATAAAATTGGAATATCGAGGGAAAAAGATAGTTATAAGCTTCGCTAAATTCAATTTATTTGATATCTCGGTAAAAAGTCGGCGAGCAAGTATACAAACAAGGAGGTATAATTTGACCTTAATTTATATTTATACCTGGTTATAAACACATGAAATACGTGAAGTGTGGCATAAAATGCGAATGATTGTATGTGAGTGAGCGCACCCTAATCTAGATTCGTTTGAGCGTGTCTTCGATTTCTCTCTCGATTAACATCTACCGTACAGTCGGCGTCATATATGCTGTATCATCCCTTAGACAAAAAATGATATGATTTGCAGCCTTACATATAACCGATAAAATTTTGAACCGCAAAGGTAACTCTAATTATAACAATAGAATTATAACGGACGTAATAATAACAATTTTAACCTTTTGTATATATACTGAATAAAGAATTTGGTAATGCGTACTTAAAATCTGCCGATTAAATACTCGATTATTGCGACCGAATAATTTAGTTCCGCACGCTAAATTTATAATATACTACACAGTATGGTATATATAATATACTAATATAATATAATCGAATATTTGGTCGGCAAATATTTACCAAATTCTAGTACTTATTATCAAATTCTATTTCCAACGTATCTGCAAAACCGAAGATCATGTAATTCCCAATAGAGGGAACGATACACGAGGCCGACTGTGCGATCGCGAATCTCACGCGAACGTCACGTGTGAACGTCCGGCTGTCGTCGTTGAAAGCGAACTTCCAGCCCTCTGCGCGCGCTAAGCCGGCCGATGCTTTATGAATCCGTCCAAGTTCCCGCGGAATCCATCGTAGCGTTGACCTTGGGCTTCTCAGCTGGCCCTCGTCCCCTCTGACTTCCGCCGTTTATTGGTTTTCGCCTTGACCACCCTGGACTCATAGCTCCCCGCTTTCCCGTACATCCCCTCGGCTGCGTATTTCTCGTCGTATCGACCGTGCTCCTCGAAATGTCCACCCCGACGGTCGTTGTCGTAGAAGTCCGCGTCCTTCTTGCTCTCGTCCCTGTGATAAACGTTGCGATATCCGCCGGCGTTACGGACCCCCTCGCGGCTATCCCCGCTCTCGTAGACCGTGACATCCTTCTTCCCCTCGATCTCATCCGCACGCTTCCCGGCGCGGTTCTCGTTTTCGGAATAGCCCTCACCCTTACCGGAGGATTCGACGCGCTCGCTCCTCTCGCTCTCCCTCTTCGTGTCACCCGTGGCAGACAGCTCGGAGGCGACGCGCCTGTCGCTGCCTCGATCGTCTCTCATGACCTCACGCTCGGACGCCGCGTGATACGCGTCGCGATCCCTCTCGAATCCGTCGGGCTTACCGGGATTCTCGTCGTCGGTCGGCGACGTCGCGCTCCTACGGCTACCCGATCGGTCGGTTTGCGGTTTCACGAGCACGAGTTCCATGTGGCTAACTCCGGGCGGCTTCACACCCTTATAACCAGGCGGCAGCATCTCCGCCTCGGGCTCGATGATCAAAGGCAACAGGACCGGCTCGCTCTTTGCCCTCGCTGTAATAGCCCTCATTGTTGACGGTACCTCCCCCTCCTCCTCGTCTTCCTCCAACTCCTCCAGGCTGTCGTCAGCGTTCCCGGACGATTTGCTCGCGGATATCCTCCCGAATCCGTAGCCGGCGGCCGTCGAATCGAACGACCTCGGATGCCCGATGTACATCTCGTTAGCCTCCTCTCTCAGCGGACGCGCGGAAACGTTCAACAACAGAGCCCAGGTGACGCACCACCACGCGTTGAACCATCCCCCGCGAATCTTCATTTCCTTCTCGGCCCGGCCAGCCCTGATGATAGCCCGATCTGCCTCGCGCGTGTACCCGGGGTAAAGTGTCTCGACGGCGGAGGGCGGGAGGTTTCCGAAGTGACACTCGAGTCAATCGCGCGTGCAATCGCGCTGACATGCACTGTAATGACCGCGGGATAATACCAGCTCTTTTATATCGCGCGACCGCCGCTCGACCGGAGACACCGCCGGCTCTCTCGCCCAGGAGTCGCCGAGTGCATCTGGAAGGACGACTTGCGAGATGTTTCGAGAAACCCGCGCGGCGATTTCACACGGCCCCGACGTCTCCAGCGTAGCGTGGCGACTCAAGGTCCCGCGAGATCGACGATGCAGAGCAAAACTCGCGTGTCGCGAATTCGATTTTGGGACGGATACTTCCAAGAGAAAAGTTTTCACCACCCGTTTCCTAAGATCCGTAGAAAGGATTTCTGTCGAGTGACCGTGAGGAGTATTTCAATCGCGGAGCACGACGTGTACCGCCTCGAATGCCCCGGGTTGAAATTTTAGTTTTATATTAGGTCTTCATTTTAGTTCTTCATTAAGTCCCGTCAAAGGTCTTCTATCGTGCTCCTTTGACGCTATAAATGGGAAATTATTTCCGTTTTCTTTACTTGAAGACTTAATGTAGAAATTTCATGTTAAAATTTCTCCCCGGGATGTCTAAATTCTCTTAGTAGCATCAAAGGAACGCCATATTTATATTTATAGTCGGACTTTGTATATAAAGCCTCCTTAAATTCATCTTCAGATGCTTCGTAGTCGATGAACTGAATCGTATAGTATCTGAAAAAATTGAAAAAACAATGATGAGATATTGTTGCTAAAAGTTCAAATCGTCGATAATGACGATTCCCGTTGCGATATGATTCACCAGGTGTACGCCATCGTATCATTTAACACGTTCCGTGCCACGACAATTTTTGAAGATTTTCCATTCAGGCCGCGTGGGGCGTATACGACCCACACTTTAAAGATTTAAAAAAGTCGTAAACGCTGTATACGTGATGTGAAGTTGTCTATATTTGACTCTACAATAAATTTTTGAAGAATTCTTTGTTTTTCAATGAGAATTGCAAATGGCCTGAACGGAAAGTGCAGCGGTGGTCGTATACGCCCCACATGGCACGGAACGTGTTAAGGTAGATGCTCCGAATATATTTTTCAAGGAAAACGGCTGGTCGGAAAATTCTGATTTTGGGTTTTTCGAGTACTTTGGGTCTCAATTACTCTAAAATAGCATCTTGATCTCATGGATCTCAATACTTACCCCGACCCGAAATAGGTTAAGCAATTCTTAAAAATAAATCCAACTATAAATATATTAGCATTAATATTTCTTCGACGCTACAAGCTATTTCTATTTTCGCCGCTTGAAGATTTAACGTAGAACTAAATATATTTAATGCAGGAGCAAAATTTCTGCTCGGGACCCTCCGAATGACTACGACTGATCGACGCGAAGAATCCCTCATTGGATTATTGCACAAAGGCTGACAAGGCCTTGACTGATGTCGCGGCGACGGGATTACGGCGTCAATAGCGCGCGCTTCGTTTCGCGCTCGAAGCGTCAACTCAGGCCGACCCTGAAACAACGGCTCTCGATGGCGCGCGGATTACCCGTGCGACGGAAAGACGAGCGTCCTTCCAGGGTGTGTATATAAGGCGATAAAGTGGCAGAACGGATACAACAGTGCCGGACAATTAACCCGCGAGGTACAATAGGGATTCCACTAATCCTGTGCGCCGTATTTGCGAGGATCCGTGAGGCTGCTGCGGTCGCTATGATCGCGAATTTACTAGTGATAGCTGCATCGCTGCTGACCGGCGCGCGCGACAATAACGCATCGCCCACGGGTATCGCGCGTATGACGGTCTCTAAGATGAAAACGGCCGATCTCGAATCCTCCGCCGGCGGATACGCGTACAATCAGCGACCGGGCCTTCCGGTCGTCTCGTACGTGCGGTACACCAATCACGGAAGCGGACGTTACTACCATGCACTACCGGCGCCGGTGCATTACGTCGTCGGCAGTCCTGCACCTGTTGCGCCCGCCGTTTCTGAAACTGCGTTGCCCCACGAACCCGTTCCGCTCGCTACGACTACGGAGCACGAAATTGCACCGTACGCAACGCGCCAGCCTTACCCGCGCGATGGATTCATTAATTATGGCGCGGGCCAATTAGCGAAATACGCGCAACCGCTTGAGCCGCCTAAGCCGGCTGCACGTGCGCTGTATTACACGCCGAGTGCGCTTCAACCGGCGGAAGCGCGGAAAAGGGCCGGTGAAAAAGGCGACGACGGGACGTCTGAGGATGAAAACGCGGGTGACAATGATAAGGGTAATAATGATGATGATGATGAAGCCGATGACGACGGTGATGATTATAATGATGATGATGTTGGTGATTATGACGAAGAAGGTGAGAATAAAGATGACGCGAGTGAAAATCACGAAGAGGGAGCGACCGATTCCACTGACCAGGTCTATAAACCTCGTTCGAGTATCGACGTTTCGTCCGAGCTCGGCGACGGCGTGAAGTATTCGTCTTCGCAAGATTCCGTTCGCGGGGAAGAGAGTAACGAAGGGTACGTCGAACGAGAGAAGTTTGACGTAGGCGAACGCGGCCGACACGACGAAGGCGGGCAGCTAGGTAGAATTTTTGTTTACCCTCCCAATGCAGATTTATTGATTTTCCGATACACGCTTAGGTATTTGTGTGTTTCCCGGCGTATTCTCGATATATGGGCGGGTGATATTACTTTTTGTATGGATCTTTCAGAGCATTACGATACCGAGACCGAAAACAAAAAAGGGCACAGCGAGGTAGCCGGAAATTACGGACGGCACGATGAGGCTACGTGGAGTGAGAAGGCTAGCAGCTATGGGCAAACGTCGTACCACAAAAAGGGACAAAAGACCAGCGGCTTTCATAAAGTCTATCATAAGGATGAATATAAAAAAGACACCGATTTCTATGACGAAAGCCACAATAAAGGTTATTTCGATGAGCACGCCGCCGCCGACGGACATTACAACACTGCCACGGGCGATTTCAAGAAGAGCGGACAACACGAGTCCGGATTCGATTACGAAAATAACGGGAGAAAAGGTCACTATGACAAAGGACACATGGAGAATCGTGGACAGGGTTACGAGAAAGAAAAGGGCGAGAGTATTTTCCACGCTAATCGTGACAGTTATGATTCCGATGAAAGTACGCGTCTGATTAAGGAACACGAGCACGACAAATCTGACGAGCATCATTAATTAATTAGTGGAATATGGTGTTTTTACTGCTGGCGCAATTTATCTCCCGTTTCCATTATCTTTTTATATCAATTATAATTTATCATACATGCACGCAATAAAATGTGTGCGAAAACTGTATTGTTGGGTATTATCATGAGGCAGATTTCCAATTCGCATCGCGCTGCAAAATTGTTGAATTGCTGACGTCAAAAACATGTTTGTAACAATTGCATTATAGCTAGAATAATCATCGAAAATATAACAGAGATATAAATATCCAACGTCAATATTTAACTAATTAACGACTTACGGTGTACGCATGTGTGTGTATATGTGTAATCATCGTCTCTTTCTCTCTCTCTCTCTCTCTCTCTCTCTATCTATCTCTTTCTGTTCTGGTAATATAATTTGTATTATGTTTTCTACATAATTAAATTATATAAATAATTGAGATCGATTTATTTGTTTCAATTTATATCGTTGCTATTAAATACTTTTAATTGTTAAGAAATATACAATATAAAAAAGCCCCCTTATAAAACCGTGTCAATTGCACCACTGAACGAGGTAAATGGCCGATACAACGGTTTTATGGAAATAGTATATAACGAGCGGCCATATTTTCTTGTGACAGCTGTTACGCCGCAGAAGCGTGACTGATGCGGCACAAAACACGAAACTCCGCTAAATTATTACGACAGTTACCGATTTTGCGACACACGTTATGGCCGCGGAGTAGAAATAATTCAAATTCCATTTCACGTCCGATATACATTTATAGCGTCATAAAAATCTGATTAATGCGAGCTATCGAGTATCTTTCCTCCCATAAAATGTACAACAACTGTAAGAAAAAAAAGAAATCCCGACTTAACAGATCGTGTATCGTGCATGGCAGCTAGTTGACGGAACATTACGCGTTTAATGATGAATAATGCGTGTAGAAATGAGGTTTGATGTCGGCATGTTTATCGGGAGAGAAATTTATTCTGCTCATCAACGCGTACAATTTGTCAACGTAACGTGATTAACTTTCTAACAAAGGTAGTTCAACAAGCGGTAAAATGACGATTCTCCTCATAATATCCGCATCAATGTCCCTTTTTGAATCCCCAATGCTTATGATCTTCGTGACCGCCCTTCTTGCCGTGATGGGAGTGATGATGATGATGCTCGTCGTGACCGCCATGGCCTTTGTGACCCTTGTGCTCATGATGATGATGCCCTTTCTCGTGATGACCCTTCTTGCCGTAATGATCCTCGTGATGATGATGATCGTGATGGCCCTTCTTAAAATGCCCGCCCTTTTTGTGACCGTGCTCGTGATGGTGACCACCGTGCTCCTCGTGATGACCGTGGTCGTGATGCTCGTCAAAGAACTCCTTATCCTTTTTGAATTCGTCGAGTTTGTGCACCTCATGATGCCCCTTCGTCTTGTGACCTTTGCCGAAATGTCCCTTCTCGTGGAACTTGTGACCTTTCTCGCCCTTTTCGCCTTTGTGATGCTCACTGTAGTAACCGTCATCGTGATGATGATGCTTCTTGTGACCTCCGTCCTCGTGATGATGCCCGGAATGGCCCTCCTTGTCGTGGTGTCCCTTCTCCCCCTTTTCGTGATGATGCTCCGACTTGTAACCCTTGTCGCCTTTCCCACCGTGTTCGTGGTGATGATCGGAATGATGCTCCCCGCCGTGGCCGCTCTCGTGATGATGACCATGGTGGGAAGCGGCCACCTGCAGGTCGTCGTAATGACCTCTCGTGATTTCGCGCCCACTGACTACGCAGTGACAGGCGATGCATGCTGCCAAGAGGCAGATCACCGCCAGTCTGCTCATCGTGCCGTGTTTATGCTCGTTTAGTTCAACGTGTCAACGAGAGAGAGAGAGGTGCTTAACTTCGCCGCTGTGATCGTTGTGATTAAATCTGGTCGCCTCGCTCGGATTATATATCGAGCGCAGGGATAATCGATATGAGGGAAGCCCGAGCTCTCCTTTCTTGGCTCATTAGGCCGTTACGAAAGCAATGTCTCCTTAACCTGTTTAAATTGTAGTAATGCGGATTTCAGTGAGCCTGTGACTGTCGCTTTCGGGGCCGTTATGTAATCTAATTGAAATCGCTGCCCCTGCTTGCCAAACTGCGTCCGTGGAGCCTAAATAACGCGTTTTTGTCACCACCGGCCGGTAACGCGCTCACGTTCACGACAGCCTCAATTTATTCCACTCTATCACGGACGGAAATCTATACGATTAATATACACGTCGCGGAAACAAACGTCGCGGCTAATGTCGTATGCGGCTGAACCATCACCTATCACCCCTGTCGGAGGCTACTGCGATAAAAAAGAAAAGAAAAAAACCAATCGACTTCGATTGACGCAGAAAATAAATTGGGCGGTAATGAATGAAAGGCAGTAAATCGTTCCGGTTTACAGTGCGTCCCGTTCCGTTGGCCGACGACCGCTAAATTGGCGGATCGCGTTAATTTACTTCCTGATAAATCTCGGATCGACTTGACTATTACAGCCGCAAAAGTAACTGGCGTTTTCGTTGAATCTACCATGTCTTTTACTTTTAGCGGACGTCGGCGTGCGAAAGAGATCCGTTCCGTCCATAGATTCATGTTGATATTTTACTTTTCAAGAAAGAAAAAAAACGTTTTCGCGGTTGCGTGTTCTAGGTTGTAAATCCAGCGCATGCATTTTGATATCCTATGTATTTCGCATCCTGCTGCTCTCCATTTCGATCTCGAATGAAAGGAAACGTCGTTTTGCTCCGTTAAGTAATCCAAGATTGACAATTCGTTTCGTATCGGACAGTTCTTTGCAACTAATAGCGCACTCAGGCGACGGTACGCACCACACTAAAATAGCGCTTTACGAAATGCGAGCCCTGTATCGTGACCGGACAAGTGCGAAGGAACGAAAGCGGTTACGTGCAAAGCGTTGGCGGAACCGCAGGTATATAAGCTTTGCGTTAAAGATTGTTGGCCAGTCGATTGTTGCACTCGTTAGTCCTACAGACTGCCAACATGGCTCAGCACGTAGGACCATGGTTGCTCGTGGGTATGGCCGTGATGGTCGTCGCAATGTCTTCGGCCCGGGAGGTCCCAAGTTTGACAGGAGATTTGGAAGTAGCTGGCTCTGATCATCATGGTCATCATCATGGTCATCATGATGGTGGTCATCACCATGGTCATCACGATGGTGGTCATCACCATGGTCATCACGATGGTGGTCATCACCATGGTCATCATCATGAGGAGGGTGGAGGTCACGAGCATCATTCTCATCACCATGAAGAACACGGTGAAAAGGGTGATAAGGGTCACAAAGGTCACCATCACCATGAGAAGGGTGAACACGGCCACCACGGCAAGGAGCATCACGAAGGTCATCATCATGAGCATGGCGGGCACAAGAAGGGTCATCATGATGAGCACGATGAGCACGGCAGCCATCATGAACACGAACACGGCCATAAGGAGTCTAAGTTCGGCCACGGCAAGGGCCATAAGAAGGGCGAGAAAACCCACGGTTATCATCACAAAGCCCACAAGGATGAATACCACAAGGAGCATAAGTTCTATGATGATTATCACAAAGGTGGTCATCACGAGAAACACGGCGACCATCACGAACATCATCATGGTAAAGAAGGCCATCACAAGAAGGGTGGACATCATCATTCCGGTCACCATGAGGAACATCACGGTAAGAAGGGCCATCACGACAAAGGACATTACGATGAGGATCACCACGGCCATCACCGCAAACACGGTCACGAGGAACATCATCATCATCACGAAGATTATGGCAAGAAGCACGAGCACCATGGCGGCAAGAAGCACGGATTTTCGAGCGGTCATGGCGGTCATGGCGGTCATGGCGGTCATGGCGGTCATCATGGGCATGGTGGTCATCATGGTCATGATGGTCATCATGGTCATCATGGTCATCATGGTCATGATGGTCATCATGGTCATGATGGTCATCATGGTCACCATGGCCATCACCATCATCATTAAGCGAAATCCGTCAATTTGGGGTGGCGCAAAGATGAAATTGTCGCCACGTTTGTTCCTTCAGTTTCTCGTTGATTATTTTTAGGATGTCGAATAATAGCCGACTTACTCTGTCAGATGCTTGTTATTGAGAAATTAAAATGTTTAAGCTCCGAATATATTCTTGATTCTATTACTTTCCTCACTACTCCCACTGTTCCCCAGATACACTTAGATATATGCGCATGGCTGGACATAGCACTTTAGCACTGTGATAGACGTATGAACATGAAGATATAAGATTAGAATCTTTCCTGTTGAATCATGGCTGAAAATGCAACGTTACCGTAAAATAGAGACGAATTTTTTCTATTATCGAGCAATTTTCTTATCGCAGTTTTCTGCATGCCACTAAGATCTGTCGTAATATAGAGAAAAAGATATTTTTGTTTTTAGAATGTGCGTTTTTCTATTATCTTTGCTGAGATCTAGAATTGATTTATTATTTCACCCGCGTATCATTAATCTTCAAACAATATTATATCGGGCTAATCTTCTCCAAGGAAGATACTAGCGAATGAGGAACATGAACTTCTAAGTAAATAATTAATATAGTTTATGATAATTAATATATTGAAAGATTATTTATTTATTCATACTATCTGTCAAATTCCAGTTCTACTACATAAATACGCATTTATATAAAATTCAAGTGCGTTGAATACCTGAAAGAATAACCATATTTTAAATATTGCGGTAGCTCTTCACCCGTTACTGACATCGCCAAAGAACTTTATTAAGTGCTGACGTCCATGAAATTTTGAAAACATTCAAAATAACGTGCACAACAAAACCGCATGACTAACCGTAGAAGATATATAAATAAAAAAAATGTGAATATGAATGAGAAAATACCTATAAAACCCCGGGAACTTTCTAATAACTAATTTAATAATAATATTTATTTTAATCTGACTTTCTATTTAATGTAAATGTACACAATGAAAGACAATATTGACACGGTGCAACTTTTTGCTCCGAGTTCAGTGAACTATTAAAAATCGATAAAGGAAGCTTGATCAGTGTCACGTAACCCCCGTTTATATAACTTTAAATAAGTAACAGATTACAAAATAAAATCAGTGAGATTTACCGCAACGGGGGAAATGAAAGGTAACTCCCACGCCGTCTTTTATTTATATAAACTTATACTTTTTCTCCGGTACTGCAGAGCGCATTTAATAGCGCACCGCGTCGGAATCGCGATATAAATAACACCTCCTCGGCAATTGACAATATTTTATCGCTCGCAACGAGCTGGAAAACACTCGAATCGGTGATAGATTAACAAACTTTTGTCTTAGGATATATCGCTCTTACATTATCATGTCCACCCTACGTCGTGTGTTGGTGACCATTCTCGTGGCGATATACATCGCCACTTATTGCGTGACTACCGCGCGTGAGATCGCCCGAGACGGTGCTGACGACCTGCAAGTGGCCGCCAGTCATCACGGTCATCATCATCACGAGCACGGCGGTGGAGAAGAACATCATTCCGGTCACCATCACGAACATGGCGGGAAGGGCCACAAAGGTTATAAACATCACGGTCACCACGAGAAGGGTGACAAGGGACACCATGACAAGGAACATCATCACGGCCACCATGACGAGCACGGAGGACACAAGAAACACCATCATCATGACGACGGCTACCATCACGAGCATCACGAGGGCAAGAAGGGAGAGAAGGGTCACAAGTTCCACGAAAAGGGCCACTTCGGCAAAGGCCACAGCACTCATGGTCATCACGAGGTGAAGAAACATGACGAGTACAAGAAGGACAAGGAATTCTTCGACGAGCATCACGACCACGGCCATCACGAGGAGCACGGTGGCCATCATCACGAGCACGGCCACAAGAAAGGCGGCCATTTCAAGAAGGGTCATCACGATCATCATCATCACGAGGATCATCACGGTAAGAAGGGTCATCACGAGAAAGGTCACCATCATCACGACCACAAGGGACACAAGAGTCATCATGATCACCACGAGCATCATGATCATCACCATCACCACGGCAAGAAGGGCGGTCACGAGGATCACAAGAAGTGGGGATACAAGAAGGGACATTAAAATTTCCCTGCTTCCGGGGAGATACCACCAGCTGGTTTTTCAATAGAATCCTCGCTCTCGTACCGTTCTTTTTCATCCGATTCAGTATAATCCAAGGATATATATTTGCGACTTAAGTATCTGTTTATTAACGAGCATCGCTTACATCTTTATCAATGTTGATTATTAATCGTGTATATGTTATAACGTTGTTGTTGTTGAAATATAAAGTGTTACGTTTAACACGTTCTTTTTCCCTGCGCGCAGACAGCGCGCAACATACAAGTTAAACACATAATACCAACATACATCATTTCGTCACGTTTGAAAATATGATGACGGAACTGTCGTACAAAACGGAAGAAGCTATTTTTCAAGAACTGTTTTCTTGTTTTCCTCTTCTGAACGGAGTGAGAAGCGGTGTTTTCACACCGTGGAATTATCAATGCAATAATAGCATTTGACATCGCGTTGATTTCCGAATGCGCGATGTTTAATTCACCGTGATACGTGGCAGACATTCATTCGCGCATAAATCAGTAATTACCAGATTATCACGGGCCTCCTCCCTCCCCCAAATCTCCTTCGCAGCTTCAATAGACGTATACCCGCCATTGAGCGCTGCGAAGCTGCATCGTAAATTACGAGCATGCCGGGGAGAATCCTCGCCCTTAATAAAAATTCCTATATTCTGGCCATTTATCAAGTTCCGATATTAATAAGCGGCATTAAATACAATACAACGTTGGTTAATACATTATCGGACGACGGCGCAAATATAAAGCGTATCCTCGCGGTATTATTAATATTTGGTTTAATGAACTCTTTCGGGAATACAAAGCCGCGGCAGCGGCTCGCCCGCGCTTAAACTCATTATCTTTTAAATGGAAGTTTATTATTTAGAGGAACATCGCGACAGAGTAATTATCGCGCACGAGCGGAGGGACGGGAGAATCGCGTCGGAAAAGTCGCGATTTTCAATTAATATCCGACACCCGACATCGGCGCGCTCTTAGACCGGCTCCGCTTACTTTTTGTGCCGCGTCTTGCGTGTGCATCGGTCGTCGCAAAAACCGAGGTGGGAAGGGAAGGGGCAAAAGCTCCTCCGCGCGCGCGTAGCCTACTGTCGTATTCGTCGCGTCGCGAATTTGATTAACGATCATGCCGGGCTGTTGCAAATGAGATCGCCGGTGTCCGTCCGAATTGAATTCCGGCAGCCGGGACGCGGATTAACGGGGGCTGCTTTATGCACTTCTTTCCCTGCAGCGCGTACGATGCGGGCGTTCGCGCGAGCAGGATCGCCGCCGGGCCCATTCCCCGCCGGAGATTGCATGCGCACTCGGCAGCGTGCGCTACTTGAAACCGCTCCGCGTGGTAATTCCGTCGGCGGCCGACGAAAGGGCCCCGGCATTGTTTCGGTCCGCGATGCGTGGTGCGCGTGTGGCTGGCTTTAATTAATGCAATTGAAGCGGCCGCGTCGCGAGAAAAGGGAAAATGCGAGATACACGCGCGCGCGCACGCGAAGAAGCGCGATCCTCTGTGATTTCGCGCGCTCTCACGACTAAATTAATGAGGACCCGCGGAACACAGTGACGTTTGCACTTTCGGCATTCACGCCCCTCCCGCGTCGCCTCCGCGCTGGGGAAACGATACAATTCTTTTCCCGTTGTCCCTCGCGCATTCGCAGCGGGGAAATGCTCACGTTGTTACCGTCGCATCCTCGAATACCGGTCTGCCGAGAGTAGAGGCATAATAAATACAAGTTACTCTCTGCTTATGTGTGCGTGCGTTAAGCTAAAGTCTGGCGGGAAACAAAAGTTGTTTAACACAATGTTGCCGAAATAACCAGCTAAATAAGCTCCCCGCCGCCTGAAACCCCGGGTACCTTTGATAAAATTTTCACGGAGCCGAAGCAACCCCACGAATAATGAATGACCTGAGCGCTGCAGTCGTATAATGAAAATTGCATCATGAGACCGCGCAAGAAATCCTTTGACGACGTAAGCCGCTAGATTAAATATTTGGATTAAGCTTATCTTGTTGGCGTATTCATTGTATCGCGCTAAAAACCGAGATAATCAAATATGTTCATAATCAAGGCTTCGCGCCGTCGGTGACACACGCGCGAGTGTTTTAATCCATTTACGCGAGCATGAAAGCAAAGAGGAACTCGCGAACTCGTTTTCCCCGTCGCTTCGCTGATCCCCCGTCCGACTCCTTCCTCCCCCGATGTTAATTTTATTCGCTAAGAAGAGACGATCGTGCCAGAAATCGCGCCCGAAAATTCACCCCCGAAACGGTTTAATTCCGAAGCTTGGCAAATTACACGCTCGCACATAACGAAGATAGATTTGCACGATAGATTTTCTAAAATCTTCCGTTGATTAATCGACGAATAATGTGCGCTCGGTTATGCACGCGCGTTGCAGGAGGCGTCACGGCGATTTACATTAAGCGGGCATATGTTTTCGACGGCTCGCACCAGCTGGCTCGAATCGGCATAACGGTGGCAGCAACAACAAAGATTACGAGGTGTTGAGAGAACGCGATAGAATGAAATAAACTGGATGAAAGCGTAAAAAGGGCATCAAAATGGGACAATGCGGCGAGCATCAGCTTTTCGGCAAGAGCGATAGACAGACTGTAGCGGTGTATGTTGAGGCATTTTTTCAACGGTATACGAAAACAGTGGAATTTGGAGTGTGTTTGTTATTTTCAAACGTTGCTGTAAATTGCAGACGAGCGTGCGCGAGCGAGCATGCGAGCTAAGCGCGCACGCGTGCACGCATTGTTTTCGAATGTACGAGGTGTCTCTCGTCGATGTGACATTATAAAAGTATATTTGCATTTCGATGTTTTACAATGGATAACGCAGTATCGCGTTGCGCGGCATCGCAAGAGATAACGCGCCCCGCCGCTACGTGCGGATATACGCGGTATTTACATACAAATTTAACGGTGTCAACTCGCAACGCGCGTTCCCGCGGAGCGACACATTAATATCCGGGAATCAATTCAATCAGCTGGCCAATCGATTAACCTCAATTATTGGCGCATTAATGACCTGTGCTACATGTGACATTAAAATTCATATCGCGACGGGAATCGCCAGTACATTACTCTCGTCTCCGACAATGGGGAGGCGCGCGCAAAAGCACATTTTTATCGCACCCCCTAAATTAATTCCCCTCCCCCCCCCTGCTCGCAAGCGGGCGAGCGACGTTCGCTTCGCGCATTTATCGCGGGGAAAAAATTGCATTAACGCGAAACCGCGTATCGCGGCGTATACAGACAATCAAATTGCGAAACGGCCAATCGAATTTAATCGACGCTGTCTTTCGGCCAAATTGATATCGATGACATTAATAATGACGCGCGATCTCGTCACGACGCGCGCCGCGCGTGGAATCCGCGCGGAAAACAATCGCGCGTTCATCCCCGCGCAATCGTTATCTCTCTAGTCGATGGCCCGGGGGACGGGGAGGAAACGGCGAAATTACTTTAGTTTGCCGATGGGAAGTGGTAAAAGGCCGTTGAGAAAAACGACGGCAATAAATCGCGGGGGAATCGATAAGGCGTAATATCACGTCGGCGTCTTGACTGTAATGTAGCTGCTGGGACAAATATGAGCTGGGGGAGAAACTTATTCGGCCCGTTAAGACCGAAAGAGAGAGAGAGAGAGAGAGAGAGAGAGAGAGAGAGAGAGAGACGGAGGAAGGATCGAGAAAGAGATAGGCACAGAGAGAAAGAGAGAGAGAGAGAGAAAGAGAGAGAGGAAAGCAAGGAATAAGACGGGCGGTTTCTCTGTGCGCGTCGATTGCTCGCAATGTTTGCGCTGTAAATACAAAGTACGGTACAAAATGCAGGAGCCACGTGGCGTGTCGTCGTCGCGCGATCCGAGAAACAGGTACATGAAATTACCGGTAACCGAGCGTTTCGTCCTTTCGATCCGTGACAATACTCGAGCGTACAATCCCTAATGTCCCTTCTTATAGCCGTACTTCTTCCCGGAATGATGATCGCCCTTCTTGCCGTACGCGTCGTGATGCTCGTGATGATGCTCGTGGCCATGCTTACCGTGATGACCCTTGTGCTCTTCGTCATGATGACCTTTGTCGTGATGGCCCTTCTTACCGTGGTGATCCTCGTGATAGCCGGATTGATGATGCCCGCCCTTCTTGTGGTGGCCCTCCTTCTTCTCGTGATGCCCGTGGAAGTCGCCGTGCTTCTCGTGATGGCCGCCCTTGTGGTAATCGTCGTAGAACTTGTGCTCCTTGTGGAACTCGTCCTTGTGGAACTTGTTGTGGTAGCCCTTGGTCTTGTGCCCCTTCTTGTGGCCCTTCTTCTCGCCGAACTTCCCGCCCTTGTGGCCCTTCTCACCCTCGTGGTGCTCTCCGTACTTCTCGTGCTCGTCGTGATGGCCCTTCTTCTTACCGCCGTGCTCCTCGTGGTGACCGGAATGGTGTTCCTTGTCGTGCTTGCCGCTGTCGCCCTTGTCGTGATGGTGATGACTCTTGTGCCCTTTCTCGCCCTTCCCGCCGTGCTCCTCGTGGTGATGGGACTCGTGATGGTGGCCGCCGCCGGACTCGTGATGGTGGCCGCCACCACCCTTGTGGCCGGTCGCCGCGGTCTCCAGGTCGACCACCAGGCCTGCCGACGGCACCGCGCCCTCCGAATGACCTACATCACGGTCACCGTTCTTCCCTTCCACGTCGCGACGGCTGACACGCGATCCCGCGCCGGCCAAGTCCCGGGCGTGACAGGTCGGCTGTAACAACGTGAGCGAACATATTGCGACGACGAATGGCAGGGATAGCATCGCACCTCGCACCATCTCGATCGCGCCCGGATTCGATCCGACTGATCGCCGACGCTACAACGGTTGACACTTAAATATCGATGCTACGGCTACTTCCGCACCGCCGGCCGTTTCCGTCGAGTCTACTTTCATCCGCACGACCGCAAGTGTTCCTAAATTTCGTTCCAATCACCGGGGGAAGGAGGAGGCGCGGTGGGGGTCACCGCTTCACACGGTTTCACACTTTCTCGCGTGGCTGCACATCGGCGTTTTACTCCACCGCTGGAATATTCCGTCGTGGCTAGCTCGCGCTCCGATCGGCTCGTGCGAGAGTATTATTTCTCGTGCGTCGGTGCGTGCGTGCGACGTAACGACGTTTCGTCACGCGTCACGCGACGTAACGGATTGATTCGCCCCCGCATCCCCCGATGACGTCCGCATTGCCGCGTCGGCCGATAAGTTTTTTCGGACGCGAGGATTTTTCTCGCAGTCGCGACACTGCGTGAACGCAGTATCCCGCGGGGGGAGGGGGGGGGGGCAGAACAGAGCTGTATCCACAGCGGCACAGGAAGAACTTTCCATTACCACTTTTTTCCCCCGTGATCATCGGTCCGCCGCGGGAACAATAGCGCGGAAATTTCTAGACCGCAACAAATCGCATTACCGTCTCTGCTCCGATTTGCTCCTTTTCCCGCTTGTAATCGATATCTGTGCTCGGACGCACTTTTACACGCGCCAGCAGATCGATAATGCGCTCATCCTTCGCGTTTCTCTCTCTCTCTCTCTCTCTCTCTCCTTCTTTCTCTACACGCGGAAGGATTTCGCGCGATTTTACCGTGTCGAGCTTGCAAATTAATTATAATTGGCAGGACGCGACGGCGATGTGACATGTGACAGAGCGGCTCTCGCTTTTCTCAGACAGCGGCGATTAATGGGCGAAACCGGGTGAAATACCGAACGCGACCCTCGATAGGTCGACGGTCGACGGCCCGAATTTCTATTTCGAGTCAAAGCGGCGTCTCGCTTTCCGACACGCGCGCTCGATCAACACCTCGCTGCGTAAACGCGGCGTGACCTGAATCGATATTTGAAGTTAAGTGCCTCCTCCTCTCCCCCCCCGGCAGATGCTCGCGCGAGCATCATTTTAATTAAACGTTATGACGCACGAAACACGGGAGGATCAGCATATGTCCCGCTGCGACCCAGAAGTGTTTTGTTGTCACGGAGCGGCCACCACCACCGGCAGAGCGTCCTCGCCCCCGGGATCATCGATAAGCTGTCTAATTTTACCATTAATCCTATTACCCGCGACATAAATTCGCCCCTCGTAAACACAACGCCATTTATAACGTCATAAGCCAAAAACAATTTATTGAGTTTTACAGACGTCGCCGACGCGTATATCACGGCGCTCTCGGCGCTTGTTGCGCGGGTCGTTTCGTTAACTGTCGACCCATTTGTCCCGGGCTTCGTGACGGTTTTATTAGATGATCTCGAAGAGCCATCAAAAATCGAGGAAAATAATTGCGGCCCTAATCTTCCAGCCGGTCTCCACGTCAACGAGATGGAGAAAGATAAAAAGTAATACGCTGCCGTTCAGTGCGGAGAATACACACACAGGCACAGACGCACGTGTCACAGAGAAGCCGACAAATGTCGGTGATAATAAAGTCTTCGAAAATTCACGAACGGTAAATCCCCCGGCGACGAGACAGCTCCGTCGGCGCGAATCGGCAAAGCGGGACGACGGCGACGACGGCGGCGACGATGACGACGATCGTTTTCCTCGATTCGGATATAGATTACGGATGCCGTGAGCGGAAAATCGCGATATATGCAATGGTCGTCGCGGTGCCAATCTCCATTGCAAATCCAACCCGCCGACGGGGGGTGAATTCGCATTCTGAAACACCACTGATCGATAGATTCGGGGCTCTTTACGATCTTATTTGGCAGCCGCTTTCAGCCGGAGATTGGCCCTTGCCGGGGCTGTTGCCGCTGCATAATCAAGATAAAGATCGCTTACTGCCCAGCTTCCGCGCGACCCCTTGGACAGAGGGAAGACCCGGCAGCTTCTCTGCCAAGTTCGATTTCTACACGGCATCTCTTTCGTCGTAACGGAGATTAGATTAGGTAACGTAGACCTCGGCTCGAATAGCGAGATTGCTTTGTAAGCAGAGGAGATGACGGGCCATCCGTCGGATCGCCCGTCCTTTGGCCGAAGAACGCGGCATTGCTGCAATTAGAATCGGAAACGCAACCCGGGATCTTCACATGCGAAGCACGGCGGCAGAGGCGTGATGAATCGTGCGTGCCGCGGTTCGTTGACTTGCCAAATGTTCCAACAACACGGCTGCGCGNGGGGGGGGGGGGGGGGATAATAACGCCGATAATGAAAATCCGCGAAGCTCACGGATACAGCTTTTGCGATTGGTTAAACAGATAATATTAAGCTCGTCGTTGTGGCTGTAAAGTAGCGTGATATGGCTAAAAATTCCTCGTACAGCTTGAAGTTTTGCTCCCTGAATTGCTTAAAGTGGAAATCTCACTCGCAAGTTGAAAGCAGCAGTATTTTCACCCGAAGCGGCAGTGAAAAGACTTCCGTTCGAAATAGCAGAAGTGAATCTCTCACGTTCATAGATCAATGTTTCACTCGAGCTTACCTGATTCGAAATTTTAGTTCTTAAGTTTGAGAATAAGTTTTCCCAAAGGTCTTCTGTTGTGCTCGTTTGATGCTACAAATAGGAAGCTATTTCCGTTTCCTTCACTTGAAGACTTAATGTAGAACTAAGTAAACTTGACCCTCTAATGGCGAGATGAGATCAAACTCAACGACTCAACGACTCCGTTTACTTACGTGCACGCGCTGTTTGTCTTCTTAAGTAATGTTTCATGTCATTATTTACTTCTTTTGTCCATTTGTATATCGATTACATGAAGAAAACAGAGCACGGGGTCAAATCCGGCCACCTTCCAGGATACGTTGAAAATCCACCTTGCTTTCGGAGGGTTAATATATGATGAAAATTTCGACTCGGGCAGGGTGGATTCTGATTCCGTATGAATAAATATTTCAGTCGATTGGAGTGAATATGTTTCCCGTAACGGTGGAATATAAGTCACAAAAAGGTTGCAATACCGTTTTTCTTGATAAGTTTCGGAACACATCCGGTATCCATTAGGAGAATATGTTTTTTAATAACTCTCAGGAGATACATTTTCTCACTGGATACGAGATGCGTTGCGAGACTCGTCGGAAAAGAGGTGTTGCAACCAGTTTTTGCAACCGGCTATACATCAAATTCACTCTTCAATTCAATTTCGAATTGAAAACATTCACTTGACGACTCAGAGCGGCGAATGTCCCGTGTGTGCGTGTCGCTCGAACCTGACCGATTCGGTGATTATTCTACTCTGCTGTTCAGAGCGAGCCTCCGTTCCAAGAAATTCCGAGAGAACATCAGGATAAAATCATCGTATTTACATCCCGGACAAATTCTCTTCTAATTACCGGAAAATCGAGCGGGTGTTCTCGCGCTAAGCGCGAGGGAGTTATCGGCGACGGACGGAGAGACTCGAGAGACGTCGCGTTACGCCGCTCGAATTCGGTCGACCTGTCCTTCCGCCGATCTCGTTAATAATCGCTAACGAACCGGCGAAACACTGTAAACGCATCGGAGAGATTCCGCGTCGCTAAATCGCGCGCGGAGGTGTGCAATCAGTTGATAAAACCGGTTGGATCCTTCCAATCCGACGACCGAACTGTCTCACATTTCGAGGTCTTACCATCGTCGTCTTTACTTCTTCCTTTCTTCCCGCTCTTCGTTCTTCGCACGTTCCGCCACCCCCGCGTTACCAGCCCCGCTCGCTGCATTCCCGCTCGCTCGCTGAATAAAACCGTCGGACTATACAGCGACGAACAAAAGAGCCTCGCGCTGGGCTCCTGGGATTGCTAATGAAATTGTTTCCTAATTTAAACCCAGGGAGATCACCGGGGAGACATGGCTACCATTCTACGGTCAAGAGCCCTATTCAAGGTACAAGCTCTCTTTCAGCGATGGCTGCGCGAGAACTGACAACGGCAGTTCGTAATTCAGGCTGTCGCTTCGCTCTCGTCTCTTCCACGCACATTTATGCAAATAAACAGTATCGGTATTTCCGACCGATCACCGCTATCGCTTTCTAATGTGCATTTCGATGCGGCGGGCGGAGACGGGAAAACGAGGGCGTTTCGCGGCGAAGTATTTAAACGGGATCGATTAGCGGGCGTCGGATAATTTGATTTTTCTCGCGTCATTAAATGGCTTATTAATTATCCACACACGCCGGCTTGAATATAGATCGAGTCGATTATTTTCGAGCGCGATAACGGCTTCCCGATTTAACTCGCTGGGGGGGGGGGGGGGGGNNGGGGGGGGGGGGGGGAGGGGGGAGAAAAAGCAGTGTATAATAATATATTCTCGTGCGTCCGGACTTTCTTTTTTTATTTTTAATTAAATATATACGGGAAACGCGCAATACACGAGGGAACGGTAAAAGCGCGAGCGGCGCTAATCTAAGTGCCCGTCTTTTTTCGAGCTACCTTTATTAATACGGTAGATCGCGCGCGAGCGAGCGAAATTGGCGGGGCAAAGCGATGACAACAAAATAATTCTTTGTCACGCAGCGTTTAATGATAATTATCTCGCGCAATTAACAGACCGATTTTCCGCCCGGGGGATGGGCAACTGCCCGGAAAGTTTCCTCGTTATAAATAATTGCAAAATGCAAGCCGCTGGTGAGCGTTGTACACACCCACCCACACCCACACACACACATACACGCAAACACACACGTACGCACGCACACGCACCCTCATTCACCGACACACCGACAGCCGGGGAGGAGGAGGAGATGGGTGAAATATACAACGAGACGCAGTCCTTGCGTGACGGGAAGTACTTTTTAACAAACACTCCCGTTTTTATCGTATTCGTCTTCTGTCAGTCGGAGCTGCGCCGGCGATTAACCGTGTCTATCGTTCGCCGACCGAGTGGCAGTATCGTGCGATCTAGCACAGTTCCGAGCCGTCGCCATTAAGCGCACGATTAAACCGGATATCTATAATCGGCGGCGGGACGGATTTGAAAATCTATTTGCTACCCGCGCGCGGCGCACGAACGAATCGCGGCGAGGGACTGATCGCGTTCCGATCCGAAGATTCGGGACGAGAGTCACGCCGCGCGAAATCTCCGCGAATTACCGTTCACGCGGGGTGTGAAATTAAGCGACGATTTAATTAGTCGACGTAGCCGGCGCGTGTATAATAAACGTTGCGGCGGGGCGCGACGTGACTCGTTCGAACCGAACACTTTATCTCGGCTAAGTAAATATCATCCGCGCGGGATCCTAATCGCGTAAACTCGACTCGGACGACTCGAGTGCGACAAGTGTCGTTCACCTCGTTACCGTGTAAAGCCATGTAAATTCGCCTCTCCGCCCGAACATTTACTCCGTCAAAGAAAAGTTCACACTTCTCTCTCTCTCTCTCTCTCTCTTTCTCTCTGCGAATCTCCGAGCGAATCGGTCGCGTGTGCTTCATGCGACCACGCATTCACCCTTATGCATTTTCGCTAGCGTCTCCGAGTGAGAAGCGGAGTGTTTAAGAACCGATTAAGAACTCGGCGCTTCGGCGAGCGCATCCATCCGTGAGAACGGACTATTTGCATGCTACGCGGAACATACCCCCAGGATGGATTAGCTGTTGATAATCGATCATGCACGGACATTGCTAATGTAACGAGTTTCGCCAGCCGGTAATTTCGAGCGTACGCTCATTCCCGCGATCGATCGCAGCTGAAAGCGTAAAGGCAAATTTCATCATGGAAATGCTGTTATAATATTAATCTAGCGTTCGACTCGCCCCGTCCGGCATCCTCCGCGAGGTTTCGAGCGGGCGGAGCCCTCTCGTCGGCCCGAGAGCGCGATTGCTTTCGCATCTTCTAATTAAAGTAATTAAAAGATCAGTCGCGCGTGGTTATAATTGTCGCGCCAATTACGGACGGGAATGGAGTAACGCCGTGATATGTGATATGTTCTCGCGGCGGCGGCGGCGCCGGCCGGTGCGCGTGAACGCGGAATTCGAAGCTAACAGCCGGACAAAATGATCACGCGCATCGCTGATGATACTTTATTAGTGAACATAAACTATTATTACAATTCGCCTACGTATGACGAATTCACGGGCTACAAAGTGACCCGTTAATCGCTCGCAACACAACAGGGAAGAGCGCATAGGTTGTTTCCATTTTTGGGGATAAATCCAAATATCTGTCAGGCGACGCGCATCCATATACATACATACATACACACATACACACACTCACACACACGCACACACGTGTATACGCACGCACGTATGTCTATCGAAGCGCGCGCGTATCCTTTCGATCGCTTTAATAATAACGTATTTTTGCCAACGATAAACTGTTGATATTACCAGTAACTACGCTCGCGGTTAAAAGGCCAGAAAACCAACAAACGTGTCGCTTGAATGAATACCGTGATAAATATCAGTGATTATATATCAAAATTACATTCCACGCCGATGAGATTAATAGTGATCCCCGTCGTCTTCCTCTTCCCCTTTGTCGTCGGAATGATAAGAGCCGTGAGTCTCGTAGGATTCCTCGTCGCCACCTCCGGAGGAATAATTTTCGTTATGGCCGTAACCCGTGGATTCCGGCTCTTTCTCCGTATAGTGGCTACTATAGTGATCGCCATCGTCGCTTCCGGTATAGTGCGAGTATTCGCTCCCGTGATCTCCCTCGTCTCCGGCGTACTCGGTATCGACCATAGTACCTATAAAAGTTTTCATATCGTATTAAACGCAATTTACGAAGAACGGGTATTTCGCGTTATTCGCTCCACCCGCTTCAAATTCGAACAAAGCGGCCACTTCGCTGCTTTATGGACTCATGGGAGTTTCTACGGCTCGGCCCGCGCCTCTCGTCAGAAATGCGCGGAAAGCCGCGGAGATGATTCTTATCGTCGAATCGCAGAGAAGAAATTGACGATTTATCTTCACGTGTACTAAACTTTAGTAGAGCCTTGACATTTGCTAGACCCAAACTCATCTATCTAGATATACGAATATATTATGGCCGTTGATTATACGGCTAATCTGTCATTTTGACAGCTTGATATATCATATCGTATCATACCAGGTACGGAATACATAACAGGAACGATTAGAAAAACTAAGTGAACGACTGTACTAAGAGAGGTCGGTTTTCATAATAGAATTTTATATATAAGACCGTCTTAAGTTCATCTTCAGGTACTGCACGGCCCATTTTATTAGCTACGAAAAATTTGAAGACGAATTTAAAACGATCTGAAATATAAGATCTGACTTTGAATACTTGCATAAGTGACTTTTTGTCTCACACCCGCAAAAAAGAAGATAATTCCAATAACCAAAAACTAGTTCTCACAGATAAAAAGCTGTCCATACAATACAATGTAATGTAGTTGATTTCTTTTGTCCTTGTACCTAGTTTTTAGTTCCTATAGCTAAAAACTAAGTCTGGTAATTATTTTTTCAGTTTGTATTACATTGACAGCTTCCTTTCCTTTTTTCTGTACGCGAAGACTTGCTTTCTTCATTTTCTAGTTGACTTGTAGTTCAGACGTAACCTAATGATAATACAAAAACTATTTTCTTACTCATGCATATAAAAAAAGTACTATATTAAAGTAAATAATTACTCCAGCACTCCTTAGAAATTTTTATTTGGTTTAAGTAAGTTTTACTCGGGTCAAGTAAATATTTTACTTGAATAATTTACTTCGAAAATATTTTAATTATATCAAGTAATATTTGATCCAAGTAAAAATTTGCTAAGGGAAGTATTAGAGTAATTATTTAAAAAAACACTTTTTCCGTGTATACAGAGAAAAAATTTGTTTAATTTTAGTAAATACTATACTTACTAAAATTAGATTTACTTAATTTAAAGAAACAATATTTATAAATATAAAAATTGTTTACTTGATTTTAGAAACTAAAGCATAAAAATTAGGAAATTATTTATTTTTGAAAACTTTTACCTTCAATTAAATTCAAATTTACTAGAGTAATATTTATTGTAACCTAATAAATAAATTTTTCAAATATTGAACTCGAATTTCTTAATTTTAAAAAAGATATTTTAACAAATATTTGTTTAAATTCATGTTTTCAAACTATCGAAAATAAAGAATAATATACTTTAAAATAGTAAATATTGATATTATTTCTATTATAAAATTAAGTGGAAGTTTCGATAGTTTGGAAATATATATATATGCAATAAAAATATACTAATCAATTAGAGAAAAATGGCTCAATAGAAAATATAGCTAGATCCAGAGCCTGTGTTCAAATCCGGTCAGTAGTAAGCGGATTTTTCAAATACAATATAAATGGAATTGATTAAACAGCACACGATTGAAAAAAATTCAGGAAAAATCGTTGACTAAGTCTAAAAGCAACACAATAAAAAAGACGTAATAAATATAGAAATTAATTTTAAAAAGTAACAAATTTGTTACGCAGCAATAAATATTTTTTTATGTTTTAATAAATATTGCTTATTGATATAGAAAATATTTTTTTCACATTTAGTAAATAACTTAATTTAAAGAAGAATCATTTTCATTAAACAAGTAAATAAACTGCTTATTTAAAAAAATACGTTCACAGTTGCATGCAAACATACGATTTACTAAAATTCAGTAAATTTTTTTTCTCAATGTGGCTAATCGTTAAACTAGTGGTACTGTAATGATAACTTTTAAAGTTTAATGAAATCAACCATGAATAGAGAAACATAATTTTTACGTTAGCCTGAATCACAAGTTAACCAGAAAATGAAAAACCAAGTGTAAACGAATCTTCGCCTAGCAAACATTAAGGCTTTACCAGCGTACGTTTCGCGAGACAATCGATACAAATAATAGCAGCGATCGTATCACCTCGCCATCGTTCGATTAAAACTTCCTTCTACTCTATTCTTTACTCGCCGATCAGGTCGCGTTAATGCCCGTTGCTGTTGATGATACTTGAAATTTAACGATGTTTCACCTGCACTCTCGTGGTCGCGAGCCTTCTTCTCTTCATGCTTCTTCTTCTTGTTATCGTCAGCCAGATCCTTGCCATAGGCAGTTTGCGTCTCAAACTCGTACTTGTCGCCGTCCTGTTTGTGGAAGGTGTCGAGAGTCTTGTAGCCTTGATCACCTTTGCCGTAGGTCTCCTTCAAGTAACCCTTCTCGCCCTCCGCATCGCTCCCGTAGGTTCTGTAGTAACCGCCCTCGTCTGATTTGCCTAAAACCGCATTGTTGTCCGCCCTCGTTACGCTCAACAAGACGTCTAACCCGTTCATGAAGTACAGCGCCCGACCATGAACGTTAATTCGACAATTTCGGACGAGACGGGTCTGCGGCTGGCGAAAACGTCAACTCTTATGCATATACAATCATTCCGATTGATTCTCTCACGACGATTTAATTCACGCACGAATGATACGAGCGAATGGAAATAATATCTCCGAGTCGTGACTCTCCTCTATGTCGTAACGCCGCCTATTCTACTAAAAGCACTAATTATGAGACACATACCAGATACGTTTTTCATGCGTTTTTTATTATCTCGTGACTCCGGCGCGTTACCGGCGCTCATTAGGTCCTCCACTTCCGCGGCGACTTTCAACGGCGCCGGTTGGCGCACCTCGCGGATGTACGAGCCGACGGCGACGACATCGTCCTCGGCAACGTTCTCGTAAACAACTGGCCCGGCCGAGGTATTGCAAACGAGCAGGTAGGAAAGCAACGATACCAGCGGAAATCCCGAATGCATCTCGCGTGGTTAGGCGGATCAATCTCGTCGTTTTCGACGAATTCCCTGCCTCCGATCCGCCGGATATCTTTTATACAGCTCCCACTTTCATCGGAGCCGAATAATCCGCATTCTCGTACTCGTATTCGGTACCTCGGTAAGTCTGTGGCTAATTGCTCGGACGAGCAATTCGGCCCCGTGCATTTCATAATTGACGCAGCGATTGACGTTTTCTGGCCGTTGATGCCCGACGGCGAGGAAAAGAAGTCGCGTCGCACCGACAGCCCGTCCGTCCGGCTGTCCGTGCGATCGCTCTGTCGATTCGTTGTTTTACCATCCGTCTGAGAAATCGCGATCGTCGCGTTATTCAACCGTCCGCTTGCATAAGGGCCGCTGGTCTTTTCGTCATCGAGGAAGTCGCCGATCTCGCGCCGGCTACGACGTCGGGCTATCGATTGCGCGCTGTCGCGCCATCGCGAGCTATCGATCGGTCGGCGCCGGTATTAACTGTGCCGTGCGTACCGCACGAGTGATTCCGCGCTTTCCACGATCCAGCGGAGTGAAAAAAAAACCGAGTTACCGAAGACAGCTGACAGAACCTGTGACCTGACATAACGCTCGGTGCCGTTGCCCTCTCGAAACATTATCAGCGCGCTGCGTAAAGTCCGCTCGGAGCTGTTTGAGATATCAGGAACAGCGGGGTAAATCTTACTCGCGCGCGTTCGATTCTGCAAACGAATGAAGATTTTCGTCCGCTCTCGTTCGAATGAACTCGAGCGCAAACGAGGGAAGCAGCATTTAGATTCTTTGAAAAAAAGCACACGACGGACGAGACTGGCCGCGCGTTGAATTCGCTTCGACATGCGGGACAGCGGCGAAGGATTAAATCCAACTGCGTCCGAAGAACGCAACGGGAAAACACATCTGTAATTTAATTGGTTTCAACTTTGCGCACGTGTACTCCCGCGTTTTTTTAACTTGTACCGTAACTTGAGGTAATGACGCAAAATGTAGCCGAGAAATTAGCCGGGAATCGTTATCGCCGCATCATCGTGTATGCATGAATAATTGCTTGGGCGAAATCTTGAGTCACAATGATAATTATAAGATCGATCGGTCGCTCGGTTGGGCGGACGCGACGTTTGCGCGCGAGCGAGACGCATCGACGGCGGTCGCCGATATTCGCGACGCGACGAGAAAAACCGCCAGATTTCGGAATCGCAGCGGTAGAAAGTTGCTTTAATTGTTCCGATCGCGCCGTAATCCTCGCGCTGCGGTGCACTCGTGAACGTGAGCAAATAGCTCGGTAAAGTTCGCAAATACATAAATGATACCTGTGGCTTTTTATATTCCTGCGCGACACGTTATTTCACGATTGTCGCAACGTTCCACTTTGATGATTGTTACGCACAAATTATTCATTGTAAGAAAGATGAAGTTTTTACAACGAGAGAGAGAGAGAGAGAGAAGGAGGGAGAGGGAGAGACCGACGCGCAAGGGGAAAATGTACCGGCGCGGTTACATCAATCTGAAACGTCGCTTTCAGACTTGTAATAATCTGTCGTAACGCCTTAGGCCACCGTTCCATTCGGCAAAAAGGATAAAAAGGAGAACCTTGTACGCATCACTGTCTTCCTACGAAAACAGCGCACGGATCTCTCGTAATAATTGTATAACAATTTATTTCGCAAAAGGTGAAAAGCTATTTGCCCGGGCGTTTCTTCGCGACAGGAATAGAGGAGATTATTCCCGCAGCAACGTATATCTTTACATGGAAAAAAGGAAGCGTTACAATTTATTTTGCACTTAACCGAGGCAACTCCGCCTGTGAATCCCCGCAATGAAATCACGACCTACCATGTAGAGAGAATAAATTACACGTTCGGGCGATTACACTATGAAAAATCCCGTATTCTCGTAATTATGCGCTAATGGCCCCATGTCCTTCCCTCTCTTTCTCTCACACACACACGCGCGCATTAATATTTCCGATAAAGATAGTTCACCGCAACAACGATGATAATAATAGCGACGATATCGAGTAGTAGGAGGTAAAATTTCATCGCAAATTATACGACAGCTGCATTATGTATTCCCGGTTTTATTCGATCCACGTAAACGAAAACGGATATCTAACGAACCAGGTAAACGATCATTAATGCCAACGGGCGCCGTTCGTCAGACTGTCGGGCGCAAGAAGCCACTAAATCTCGAACTTCATTCCCGTCGTCCACTTAGACGTCGGCGACGGCCGAGGATGATCGTCACTTAAAACCACACGCGACCCGGTGTCGGCGACGTTAAGCGCCTTAGATAGTTGCCACGCCAGGCAGTTTCCCCGGGCCATAATCCGGTAATTTGAAAATCTCGGATGGAATGTAACACCTCGTAGTAGCTGCCGTCTTGGATGTACTAAGATTCTCGTTTTACCAAACCCCTGTTGCTACCACCATACCATCGCACCAGCCACCGGGGTCGGCCAATGCGCGCTTCTCAGCCGCAAGCCTGCCGGCAAAGTAAAGCCACGCTGGCTTCTACGAACACGACGGAACGAAGAAAGGGGGATGGGTATGCATCGCGTCAAGGGTTGCATCCTGATTAGGGTAAAAGTGGGAGGTCTGAGCAGTCTCGTTGGTATGCGAGACGCGGCGATTCTGCAATCTACTCAGTATCCTCTTTATATAAATATGTCGCATTATGCATGAGTGAGTACGAGACTCCCCGTTAGGGAGTCTCTAAAATTCAACGCCTGATATTACACTCCCGAGCAAATATTTCATAATTAACGATCCCGTCGCACGGAAGTGATTACGTAATCATTTCGGTGTCTCTGAATCATATCTCTGTGCATTCTCGGCGTACACAGGAAGAAGAGAGAAAGAGAGAGAGAGAGAGAGAGAACAATTATATTGCAAATTATACGTTTAAGCATTTTGAATTTATTTTGAAAAACAATCGAACCGTTGACAAATATTTATATGATATAGAATACATTGTTAAATGTTAACAGCGCTCGCAACGATTAGCGAGAGAAACTGCAGTGTGGTTGTGGCTGCTGCAGACGGCAATTAGCTGCAGACAGCACGGTGAAACGTCTGCAAACGGTAAAGCAGTATCGCTCAGGCGATATTCTGTCGTTGGATGCTGGTATGAATGTCCTTCATACCTGTGGAGTTTCAAATATCGATTTTGACTTGGTATCGCCACATTGGTAGAAAGCGAATACGCTAGGAGTAAAGAGAGAATGCTGTAACCGACGCACCGGGTTCTCGATAAATCGCTCTTATCAGTGAGCAATAAAATAAACACGATGAATACGATAAAAATGAAACAATTTTTAATTGCCCGGTGTCTGACATATAGTTGTAAATACGAATTGCCTGCATTAGAAATAACCAATCAGTCGTGTGCATATCGGCTACCGGTAATTAGCCACCTGTTAGTAAGACGGAGATTACCAAATATCGATAAAACAATGAAATTAATAAATTGCAACTGAGATTTATTAATATTCGTATCAATAATTAATAAGATGAAAATCGTGGAGATGTTATACCTTCACATGGTAATAACGTATAAATGGATAAGTGAAATGAACCAGATATACGTGAAAATATGATCAATAAATATATATTTATATGCGTTTATTTGTATTTTTCTGTCTTGCATTAAGTTAAATAAATAACAGTTGCTTATGTAAATATAAAAAATTCAGAAAACTGTCCGTACCGCATAAATCGACGAAGCAGCACATATTTCTCAACAGCAGCACAATCTCAAGAGATGTCAGCATTATACGCACTGGCCGTCCATTTAAACGTTATATATTTCAGGCACACATATTTTAAACGAAAGAATATTAACAGCGCAAACAATGTTGCAATTATTTCTTCTAACAGTTATGACTCATGATGGCCATCGCTGTAACTCGTGACGCGCGATATGAGTGCAATTAGCTTATCATACCTCCGACAATATTTTACTAACAGCAATTTATTTACGCTCTTTACCGAACGATAAAACATTTCCACGAACATTACATCGCGAGAAAAATTACAGCAACGGTCGACATTATTCCCAAAGATGCGTATTTCTATTATTTAACGTAATTTAATTGGACATCCCTCGCTGGATATACGTAGTCCTTTCGCCGGGATATTCCGGGTATCGCAAAAACATCGTCGTTTCACATGAATGTAGAATCAGGCCGGCAAGGATGTTAGCACAGCGGACGGAGAGCGAAAGAGAGCAATAATGTGGGCGAGAGATGGGCGGGCATGAGGGAGGGAAGGACCGACGCAATTAGGAGAGAACATAAATTCCACAATTTAGCACACTTCCTCGCCGTGCCAGCAGGATCGCGGAATACAAATCAATCAGCATAACGGTCGACTGGGCATTTAATTTCCATTCGGCTTCTGATCGAGTGGGACTCGCCGATTCCGCAGCGCTCTGTGTGTGCCGGCGCTTTGCCGTAGAGCCGCTTGTGCGGCGGCGGGGCCGCCCCGTAGACACACACGATATCTCGATCCCGCATACCCCGTGCTCGCCACTCATCCTATTGTGGAATCTCTCGAAACGGGTCAAACGCAACGAACGACGGGGTCCAAAAAGGATTTTGCGCGCCCCGTAACGAGCTCGACGATGGCGCGATTCCGATACGTACGCGATGCGTAGTAATTCGAGTTTGCACGAGCGGCCGGATTTTATGTGATTTCCCTTCGGTATGCTGGGCGAAACGGGCGCAAAATATAAAGACGTCCACGGTCCTCGTCAAATTAACGGCAATGGTGAAACGACGTGCCTTATGCTCGAATTTTAACGCGCGACATCACGCTGTTCCAATCCAACGCGAATTCTTTATCTTTTAGCGCGCTGTCGTACGATAATATTAAAATTCTTATTTCCTCGTTGTACAACGATGTTAAAAAATTAGACCGACGAACTTTGAAGAGAAATCGAAGCCTTCGAAATAAATATATTTTGTTAATATCATTCTTCTCTACGACGTTTTGTTTTAA